GTTGTTGCCAGTGGTTTCCATGCTGAGTGCAGTGAATCCGCTTTGTGGTTTATTCCAGATTTTAAAGGAGATTTTTAAGTTAGTGAATCTATTCAGGTTCCGCTTTATCTTGGATAACTCCTTTAAAGTCTAGGACAAAACTTAGAGTGGATTCACTGCCCCACCAAGAAGAGATTTGTCAAGCTCTACTGTGGAGGGGTACTTAAAATTCCCTGCTAGAAAGATCTAGTTCTCTGCCTTGAAATATAGGATTAAAGGAACTCTCTGACCGAGTATTGTAAATCCCACCAAACTACCAATCCCAGGATTCCATGATATGAAGTCACCGCAGTTAAAAATGGCATGAAACTGACACAAGAGTAGTGTAGATGCTCTTTGACATTGTTCTTGGTTGAACTTGGTCAGTTTGGACACCCCAATGTTCATGGTGATAGGATGCCAAAACTTGGATGTAAAGTCTATCTTGCCCATTCATGGCATCGTTGGATTATCATGGGTTAGTTATTGACTGCTGATGGTTTGTCCCTCTTTTCCACCATAGGATCCTATGGCCTCTCTGAACAGCGATGCCTGCCCCCCAGTAAGTCTCCCCAAAAAGAGCTTGCTCTGCCCTTAGCAGCCCTGACCCTCTACTCTCTGCTCTCTGTCCTAAATCCTTAACTTTTCTTCGGACTTTATCACACCAGCCGGCTGTCATACCACAATCTGTCCTAACTTTCTAGCTTCACTTTTGCTTTTCAGTCCTGGCTAATTTCCTTTCTGTCTAATTTCTCTCTTTTCTAGATTCAGGCTACAAACTTTTATGCACACTTACTCGAATCAGCTACTTGAGTCCAGGGACCTTATGCATGGGATTGTGCTGCAAATATCAAAGTTCATTCTGTTTCTTTTCTTTTCAGAAACTCCCTGAGAAAGAGACAGGCTACAGTGAGTATCTACCCCAAATTGCCTACCTTAACCTCACAAACTACTATTAATTCTGGGTTTTGATAATCCGTTCATTCATTCACCCGATGCATTTTGCACTCAAGAAGGTCAAACATCTCTTTAAGAGCAATGAAAGCTATGGGAGTGCTGCCTCCAATATCAATGGGACATTGAATCAATTTCTTATTTTATTTTGAAAAATGAACTATAAAGGAGCTGAACTCCTGTCTCCTGAATAGGTTCAGGACAGATGTTAGCAGCTTTAAAATTTTGTCTGAAATACGGATTCATAGCTGCATTGGGCCACCAGTGATATTGATCTTTACCAACCTTCAATACAGTTTACAATGTATATATATTTTTTAGTTAATTTGAATTAGGAACAGCCATAGCGATGTAATTCTTCACTAAATTTCTTCTTGGAGGTAGCTATGAGAAATTTGAGCAATTTCCTTCCTGCTGCAAGAAGATTTTCAAAAACTAAACGGTTTTCAAAGGCTATTTGGGAGTTATGTGAAATTTTTATATCTGGTTGATTTGTGCAAGACACAGCATTTTTTGCATAGGAAACAGCTATTTCTGCAGGGAAAAATAATATTTCAATGCAGAAGTATTAATTTCTGCATAGAAAATGTTGCTTTCTGTGCTGGTAAATGCTGTTTTCTATGCAAATCAACCGTGTGCAAATTTTAAGCAGAACAAATCCCCAATTGCAGCATTTCATGTGCAGAAGGAATTAATATTTCTGTGCTGAAATATTATTTTCTACACAGTATATGCTGTTTCCTATGCAAAATAGTCCATACGATTTTTGTGGAGAACAAGACCTGAATTGCAAAGAGTCTCATCAGTCTGGGATTCTTCTCATCATGGTTGTTCAATACTTAACAAAAAACATGTTTTGCAACCATTTTTCAAATCTTTTCAAGTATTCTTTCCATTCCCTACATAGCAAGGGAAGGAATGAAAGCATTGCCCCCCAAATAACAATTTCACTGCTGTGAGATTTTCCTTTGTAAACACTGGAGTGTATTCACTGCTTTCTTAAGACGGAAAACTTCTGTGTGTTTTACCCTGAATTGCATGCCTTAACTTCGTTCTTTCTATCCATTTTGCACTCAGGAGAGCCTGACATCTCCTTCAGTGCAATGAAAGACAGTTATGACTCTAGTGGCTCCATGAAATCTTCCTTTAGTCCCCAAATTTCTACCATCGCAGTGGCTTAAAACCTCAGCTGAGCATTGAGGAATACAGGCATCCCAGGGAAAAAGGCTGGCAAAGTGACCCTGGGGATGCAAACACTGCAAATATAAAGAGTTCAGGGGTGAATGATTTCCCGTATTTCCCTCTCTGCAATGCTAGAAATTTAGGAATGACGAAAAAAATTCTCCATTGGGAATGAAGTAAATTTTCATTTTTAAAAAAGAATTCTTATTTGGAGGGATAATGTCCTTATTTTGCCCACTGCTATAACTACACCTTGAACACACTTTATTAGTAGTGATTCCAAAAACTTTGGTCTTCTAGATGTTTGGGACTTCAGCTCCCAGAATTCCTGACTATTGACCAGGCGTGGCAGGGCTTCTGGGAGTTGAAGTCGAAAAACCCAAAGGACCAAAGTTTGGGAACCATAGAGCAAATTGGTTATAAAGAAGTGGTGGTAGGATTTATACGCTTGTTGTTAAGAAAGGACTCTTGAATAAATTAGCAGGTGTTGTAGAAACATCACGGCGATGATGATGATGATGATGATGATGATGATACTTTTATGTTTCCTTTTATTGATGGCTTAGCCGAGTTTACAGGACCACCTAAGAAGCCACCCAGGTTTGTTCCTCAGGTATGTAACCGGTCCTCAGTATTTTTTCTCTGTCTCTTTTTTTGCTATTCTTGATCACTCTCAGTCTGGAAACCATGAATCGGACGTTATCACACGGGGAGTCGCGGGGAGAAAGTGGAAATAAACGGGACGAGCGGAAGACTTTAATTTACAGGATTTGTCCCATTCCACCTCGTCTGATAACTACATTCAAATTTAAAAGGGGGTTAATTCAACAAAAAACTAATCTTTTCAAATCCTCAAAAATCCCGAAAATGAAAAGATCAGGTTTGCGTTCGAATTAAGCCCCTTTTAAATTCGAATTTAGTTATCAGACGAGACGGAACGGGACAAATCCCGTAAATTAAAGACTTCCGCTAGTCTGGTTTATTTCCACTTTCTCCCCGCAACTCCCCGTGTGATAACGTCCGATTCATGGTTTCCAGACTGAGAGTGATCAAGAATACATTTTGACTTTGGAGGTTGATATTCCCTACCTTTTTGGTGAGGATTATTGAGAGAGATTATCCAGTTGATCTCCATGGGACTGCATGATAATTTTTTAGTATTCTCCGTTGTGGGTGTATGAACTAGGTGCTTTCCAGAGATGTTCTGTTCCTCCTTTTGGGGCCGGAAGAACCTTTCCCCATTAAAACACAAGGGCCTTTCTTCGTGTCCCCAAATTTGGAGCAGTAAACTCTAGGAGGACGTGGGATGGAGGCCTTCTCTGCTGTGGCACCACACTTTGTTTTTTGTGTTATTATTTTAAATGTGTTTTAAATTGTCATTATTTCATTGTATTTTAAGGGGTGGGTGGGATTGTGAGATAGGAATGTATATTTTAAAATTGTAAGCCACCCCGGTTGCATTATGCAGAGGTGTGGGTTAAAAATTATTGTTGTTGTTGTTGTTGTTGTTGTGCAATTCCATCCTTTTGGATGCTTGATTGATTGCTGATTTTAATCCTACATTAAGTTAAAACTTCTTTTCCTAAAAAAATTTTCAAAGATAGTGGGATAGTTGAGTGTCCCTTATCTGAAATGCTTGGGACCAAAGGTCTTTTGGATTTAAGATGACGATGATGATGATGATGATGATGATGGTTGGATTTTGGAATGCCTGTATTTGCATATATGCACATAATGAGATATCTTGGGGGCTATCAGCCATGGCCAAAAGGCCCATATTCCTCCCAACCTTGCATCGTTCTATTCGGACAATGCAGGCCAAAACCATACGGTCAGGATCAGGCATGATCCTGGCAGACCAAATGCAGATCTATTGGTTCTAACCCAATCCCAAGGTAAACAGCTTTACCGCAGTCCAAAATCAGTATTTTTTCCCCAAGTTACAAAATGCACTCCTCCCTCGCTTGACAGTGGGTCAGTGGCCATGATGACTGGCTTATAGGGAAAGAACATGGCAAGCTGGAAACCTAAGTAGGAGCTACTCCTGTTAGGAAGGAGGACGCACAATGGCATTCTATTGAAGCACCCACTTCTTGTATTGTACCATTTAAAGCAAATGTGGATTGTGACTACCAAAGGGACACACATACACACCCCATTGGCATTGTTACAGTGAGGCACCAATTCATGAGCTGCCTTTGATTTCAAGTAAGCTGCGTTGGTGATACTTCAAGATGGGATATAAAGTTAAAAGATGACATGATAGCAGGGTCTTCTCAGCTGTAGCATCCCAGTTTGGGAATTCCCACCCCTTGATGGCCCAGTTGGGACCAGTGCTGACTACCAAGTAAAATCATGGCCCTTTCCTATATATAGCCTGCGGGGACTAACTGATTTCTTCCCAAATTATTAACTTTCCCAAAATGTTAAACTTTTTTCCTCCCCACATGCTAATTGTTTGATGTGCTTTTACTCTGTTTAAATTATATCTATTAAATTGGTTTGACTTGCACACTTTCTTGAGATCCTATGGTATAGGGTGGATATAGATATTTTAAATGATAATGATATTGATCAGGGTCACAATCATAAATACTGTAGTAACTAATAATTCATTTAGTTATAAGCTAGTGCCTCCAATATCTATTTAGGAAAGAACATAACATGATATTGATCAGGGTCACAATCATAAAAGCTGTAGTAATTAATAATTTATTTATTTATAAGACAGTACCTCCAATCTCTATTTAGGAAAGAACATAATTTCCCTTGTTGTTGTTGTTTTGTTGTTGTTATTGTTGTTGTGTGCCTTCAAGGAGTTTCTGGCTTATGGTGACCCTTAGAGAGCCAGCATGGCATAATGGATTAAGTGTTGGACTATAACTCTGGAGACCAGGGTTCGATTCCCAGCTCAACCATGAAACCCACTGGGTAACCTTGGGCAAGGCACACTCTTTCAGCCTCAGAGGAAGACAATGGCAAACCTCCTTTGAACAAATCTTGCCAAGAAAACCCCATGGCCTTAGGGTCACCATAAGTCAGAAACTACTTGAAGGTCCACAACAACAGCAGCAAGGCCACTGCTGGCCCTATCATGGGGTTTTCTGAGCATGTGTGATTTGCTCAAGGTCACCCAGTGGGTTTCCATAGCTGAGCAGGGATTTGAACCCTGGTCTCCAGAGTCATATTCCCAACACTCAAACCACACACTGGGTCAATTTTCTTTGGTTATAAGAATCTGGGGAGCACTTTACTACATTAACCCATTGTCCCACCCTTCAGATGTCACTGCAGCCAAATCCCACGGCCAACCTGGACCGGACAGATGATGCCGTCTACAGTAACGTCATGGACCTGGTGAAGGCAGTTCTGAAGCTAAAGAACGAAGTTAGCAACCATCCACCAGAGCGCTACATCCTGGCTGTTAAGGTCCCGCAATGTTTCTTTTGCTTGACAACCTCCAAGATACCAAAAGAATCCCAGTTCCCATTGGGTGAGGGGTACAGGTGGGCCACGAAAAGTTTTGGGTTGTACAGTAGGGAAGAAGGAGAGCTCAGTGTCAAGACAAGAGATGTCTATATCCTACCAAGGGAAGATCCATCTTCTTCCAAGTAAGTCCATTCCTCTGCTGCATGGCTCTTGCCATCCAGCAGTTCTTTATAATTTTTAAGGAATAAAGTATCCCCCAAATCCTTTCCTTCATAGGATCACGATTGCTCTGCAGAGGGGCAGGGTAAAAATAAATTTTATTATTATTATTATTATTATTATTATTATTATTATTATTATTATTATTATTATAGAGTTGGAAGGGACCCAAGGGCCATCAACTCTCTGCCATGCAGGAATACACAACTAAAGCACTCCTGAAAGATGGAGTCCATTCCACCACTGAGTGGCTCTTAAAGGTAAAGGTAAAGGTAGACCCTTGACATGAATGTCTAGTCATAACCAACTGTAAGGAGTCGTGCTCATCTCCATTACTAAACCAAAGAGCCAGTGTTGTCTATAGACGAATTCGATGAGGCTCAACTCAGGCCTGCATCCTTCCGAGGTCGCTAAAATGAGTACCCAAATTGTTGGGGGGCAATCAGCTCACAGTTGTAAACCGCTTAGACATCCCACGCGCGATATGAAGCGGTATATAAATGAAGCTGCTTTGCTTTTTTGCTTTTTGCTTTTGCTTTGATGTTCATATGGCCAGCATGACTGCACCAAATGCTGTTACCTTCCAACCAAAGTGGCACCTATTTATCTACTTGCATTTGCATGCTTTTGAACTGCTAGGTTGGCAGAAGCTGGGACTAGTGATGGGAGATCACCCCATCATGCAGCACTTGGGCCACAAACTGCCAACTTTCCAATCATCAGAACTGGCATCTTAACCACCAAGATGGCACTTACTATCATGCAGTTCTTCATAATGAATAAGGCAGGGGTAGGCAACCTTTTCCCTTTAAGGGCCGAGGGACTTCAGCTCCCAGAAGCCTCAGCCTTGTTGGCCAATAGTCCCATGTTGGCCAATAGCTCCTGGGATTCTGGGAGCTGAAGTCCCTCGGCCCTTAAAGGGGAAAGGTTACCTACCCCTGGTATAAGGAATAGAGTAGCCCCCCAAATCCTTTCCTTCATAGAAACATAGAGTTGGGATGGATCTCAAACATCATCCAATCCAATCCTGCCATGGAGGAATACACAACGAAAGCATTCCTGAGAAATATTCATCCAACTCCAGTTTAAAGCCATCCAAAGGTAGAAAGTCCACCACCTTCCAAGGCAGCCCATTCCACTTTCATACAGCCCTTACAGTCAAGAAATAATGTTTGGGTGGAATCCTCTTTTCTTGTAATTTGAGTCCATTCGTTTGTGTCCAATGCTGTTGCCACACTACAGAGTTAATAATAATAATAATAAGTTTTATTTATAGAGTTGATGCAGTTTGACACTGCTTTAACTGCCATGGCTCCATCCTATGGACTCCTGGGATTTGTAGTTTGTTGTGGCTCCAGAGCTCTCTGACAGAGAAGGTTAAATGCCTCACAAAATTACAAGTCCCAGGATATCATAGCATTGAGCCATGGTAGTTAAAGTGGTGTCAAACTGTTTAATTTCTACAGTGCAGAAGCAAGCCTAGTTTCTGAAGCAGCAGAAAATAAGCTCACTCCATCTGCTACATGACATCCCTTCAGATATTTAAAGATGGCTATCATGTCCGCTCTCAGTCTTCTCTTCTCCAAGCTAAACATAACCAGCTCCCTCGGATGTTCCTCACAGGGAATGGTCTCTAGGCCACAAGTCTGGACCACATGAGCTGGTATCCTGTTAACTGAGTCTTAACTAGACCAGACCCATTCAGTCAATTGTCAAATGATGAGTCGACACCTAGGTAAATGTCATGGATTCAATGGGTCTAGTCTAATCAGAACTAAAATAAAATTTAGGCCATCATGGAGTCATAGAGGAGCTCTAAAATCGTAAGTTTTTGTGGGTTTTTCGGACTGTGAGGCTGTGTTCTAGAAGACTGTATTCCTGACATTTCGCCTGCATCTGTGGCTGGCATCTTCAGAGGATGGTGGCATGGAGGTGTGTGGGGTATATATACTAAAATCCTCTCCTTCATAGAATTGTAGGATTGGGACTGAACACAAGGGACAGCCAGTCTGACCTCCTGTCATTTGGGATCACACAACTAATGTGATCCTGAAAGATGATCCTCCAACCTCTGTTTAAAGCAGGGGTAGCAAATCCCAGGAGCTATTGGCCAACATGGGACTTATTGGCCAACATAGCTGAGGCTTCTGGGAGCTGAAGTCCCTCGGCCCTTAAAGGGGACAGGTTGCCTACCCCTGGTTTAAAGACCTCCACAGATGGAGAGCTCATTGCCCCACCAATCCAGACTATCCCACACTGTTTATTCTTAGAGTCAAGAAGTTCTTCCTAATGTTTGGTGGCATCTCATTTCTTGTGATTTGAATCCATTGCTTTGGGTCCTGTTCTCTGGAGCAGCAGAAAACA